CTTAATCTACTGCCAGATTTTACTGTGACTTTTTCTAAGGGACATTATTCCCCTTAGAGTAGTTGTCAGGAATATTAAAAGTCCAGTCAACTGCATGGTATTGCAGAATTTTCTCAATGAGGCTAACATAGAAAATACAGATTACAACTCGTGTTTATTTAATTCCATGTGTGTTGACAAGGCTTTTTATCATGAGGTAGTAGTTTCCTTCCATTACTTTGAAAATACATTTCAGATATACCATCCAATCTAGTTAGGGCACAGAGACTGCCTAAATGCTGAGGTTGTAAATCATAGCATAGAGCATGGAGCTTTCACCTTAATGGAAACCAAATATAGGATATGCTGCACTTTGAAATGTGGCACAGATGATCATAATGAGGGACCAAGGAAAAAATGCTGCAGAGCAGAAAACTATCAATGTGGAAATAAGTTCTTATGAGTAAATGTTTGTTTTAAGTCAGTACTCATAAGTCAGGTTACTGACACTGGGAAATTACACTAAGAAACAAGTGAGGCAACAGCAAGCCTTTGTATAATGAAAAGAGAAGTAGTGTGGTGATATATCACGTTAAGAGGGACTGCTGTGGAATGCAGAGTATAGTGCAAATCAGTTCTTTAATAAAGAGATATTATATATTTCATCCAGACAAATTAGCTGACACACTCGTAAGAAATACAAGAATTGCATCAAAGACCAGAGAAGCAGTCCATTTGGTACAGAACACTGTCTCCAAAAACATTTGGAACAGCTGCATCTGCAGAGTTTATGTACTCTGGTGGAATAAATAATTCGACCACAAAGAAGCTCATTTTTGCCTTCATTAGTTAAGGGCTGAATTATAACCTGCTGCACAAGACTCTATGTATCTTCCAGTGTTGGTTATTTTTCTAATGCAACGCACGCCCATACAAAACAGAAAAGAAGTACTTCATTTAACATTTCACACAGGTGTACATCCTCTCTTTTTCTTTCTTTTCTTCAGTGAAAGTTGTCCCAGATCTTAATCCTTCCTGCCTGCAAGTAAATACATGACTGCTGTTGATTTGGTAGCCATGCAGCAAAAGTATGCAGAAATAGTCTGAGTGTACAAACTATTCTCAGATAAAAAGAAAAAAGAAAAAGAAAAGAGAAAAAAAGAAAGCAAAAGATAAACAGGCACAACAAAATAGACATTTACATTTCTCATTCCAGCTTTCTTCACTCCCATTTCCTCAGCTTATGAGTCACAGTAGTGAGCTACAGCCGCTATGGAAGTTAGGAATATGGAAGTTATGGAATATATTTCAGACAAGAGATCCAACAACATGTCAATGGCTCTCATTTCTTCTTGCTCCTCATTACACTACTGTCAAATAACAGCCAGTGCTTCACCAAAATCAGCTCATGGAATATGCTGACTGATGCCAAACCAGAGAAGATAGATGGAAATTCTTTCAAGAGGTGTATCATCATCACAAATTTATTTTTACATATTGTGACTGTTGAAATGTCACATAACTGAATGTACAAGTTATGTTTTCTGCTACCTCCAGGTGGTTAGGAGACTCCAGACTCAGTCTGACAGAAAAAAATTTGGCAATATTAATGCACACGATCATCACATTACACAGACATGAAATAGTCGGCCTACAGAAAACTCACTAGCACGGGATATGGCAGCAGAGAGCCTTGAGAAGACTTGCATTGATTTCTCAGCTTACTGTCTATATCCAGTCAAATATAATATCTCTATCATCAAAGTGTTCACGGAATTCCATCCCAGAAAGAATTCTCATGCAATCGAAAAAGTTCTTCAAACTTCTATGCCTTTTTTTCTAAAAGCCAATCAACCAAAAAACAAAGCAACAACAAAGCCTACATCTTTTGCTCAAGCATATAAAACATACACAGCACAAGGAACAGAAAATGCACGCTGAGAAATGTGTAGGGTTTCACGTCCCACAAGAAAAAAGATTATTTTTTTAACTCTGATAACTTGGAGTTATTGTCTTCTTTGGAAAAGGAAAAAACACCAGGAGAGATCTCTCAAGAATATGTCTTGGAAGGACTTCAAATACAACTGAGCCAAGACTGGTAACCACATTACTTAATACAGAATTTCAAAGCATGGACAGATGCAATTCTGTGGCTATTGGAGTGCGGATACAATAAACAATTATACAAAGACTGTATCTTTACCAAAATAAGCAGTTCTTTCTTACCTGCCTCTAGCTGCATTTTACTTCTGTGGACCTCTGTATTAGGGAACTTTCTTTATTCCAGAGGATGTTAAATCACCTAATTTATATGAAGATAAATCTTCGGCTGCATCAGTCAGAGCAATCAGGTGACTGAATTAGCTAGGTTGAGAAGTTAAGGTGCTGGAGAAAGGGGGCAGGGCTGGTTCTCCTGATGGCATTGCATTCATTGGCTGCTATTTTCACAGCCACCTGTGCTAGCATAACTGCAAAAGGCTTCTTTCTTCTTTCCCCTACTCTTCTTGTTTTCTCTTATTTCTTTACTTTCTTCTCCGTTTTTCAACAGGTGAAAATTTCAGTAGTTCTGATAAATATCAGATGTGCTTATGAGCTGCTCAAACTCACTAAAATGACAGAAAGCACCAGGGATCCAGGAGTAGAGAAAGGAGCAATCAGGATTGAGCTGTTAATTTAATTATTTAGACTTGGTGAAACTCTCCATTCAGATCAGCCTAAGCTAATGACAAAACTACAAATCCCACATTAGGCAATCATTTGAAGTTTGATCACTTATTTTTACTAGTTAGAGCATCCTACAAATAATATTGCGTGGGTAATTATTTTTGAAGTCTTATTTACTGGTTATAAAATATTAATGAGGAATGCAAGTATATGAACCATAGATACAAGAAGAGAGAAATCACAATTTTCACTAATGATTTAATGTAAAGTATGGCAAAATTATTTTCCTAATAATATATAATATATAGTAATAATAATAAATATCTCCTAACTTAGAAAGGATAGATCTTAGGAATGTTGAACAAAAGGAAATTTTTAGGACAAATTTTAGTTCTAATTTCTGTGAAAACAATTTATTTATTATGCTTATTAGTGTCTTCTGATTCAAAATGATCTCATTGATTATTATTGAAAACATTAATAATCTGAAGAGGCTTTACAACATTAATTGTAAAATTTCTGGCAATTTCCTTTTAGTCAGAATGTTTTCTTGTAAATTCCATTACAAAAATACCACAGTCTCCATAACAAACATTCCTACCATGAATCTAGAAATTGTTTAATGCATTGACAGTGCACAAGCAAAGCCTGTTATGGTAAAACATGCATATCAAGATGCGGTACTCACAAACATCACAAAGCTATTAATATCACAAAGCTGTTAATATCACAAGCTTGATAATTTATGACAAAGTGCAAGTCTATTGCACTCACATATTGAAATTCTTCACAACTATTACTTGATTTAGTCTTGTTGATAGCAAACAATTTGGTGGACACCCATTTAATTTTTTTCGAAGAAAATAATATGAGCAAGCTTCTCCTACTAGTCTGTTTTTTATGAGAAACAACTCAATATCAAAGAAGGAACTAGGAAAGTCACTGAGAAGTATAACATTAAGGAAAAAAGGAAAAAAGAAGAAAAACTACACAAGAAAGCAGAGGAAAGTGCAGTAGAGAATGGGCAAAGAGTTTAGTATTTTAACAACAGATGCAAATATGGAACAGAATAGGAAACTTTTTTTTTTTTTTTTTTTTTTTTTTTTCCATGACAGAATGAGAAACAATATAGAAGCACCAGATGAAAATTTTATTCCTACTCCTTTAACCTTTCACATGTACGCACTTTAGACAAGAGCTGGGGGAAATTTAGAGGGTATATTTTAACACATAACTCTGCTCAAATTTAGTTAGAAAACCTCAGTACCTGAAGTCTGAGACCTATTGCTCACAGGTTGTAGAATTAATTGCCAAGTAATAAAATTATTTGCTTCTAGACTATCTATTGTAGTAGATTATCAGGTATCCGTCAACATAAAAATAAATAAAAAAATTATTTATTTTGCATTAAATATTGTCCAATAATTATTTTTTCCTGTACCAATGAAAAAGAGCCACAGTAGTATAATATATTTTTATGTTCTTGTTTTTGCCTGATCTGAGGGGAAAGCAGAAGAATCAGCACTACTACCAAAAATTAACTATTAGCAAAGTTATCAGTTGCTATATATTTTGCAGCTGTTTCAAGTCACAAAAATCATTCTGAATGTAATCAGTAACAGGTCTGAGTTTCAATTATTATTATTTAATTTCTTTTTTTCACTGTTTAAGCCAAAAAATATCTGATAACAGTTCTTCTAGTTTTCAGAAGTACACAATGTTGCTGATAACCAACTTTCCTGATGGCCAGCACAAGGTAGCTTGGGAACGTTATACACATCAAAATCTGTAACTTAGTGTCATCAAAATCTGATCACATTAGTGTTTTAACTAACCTTGATTAAAAAAGAATGTAGATTAAAAAGTAACAGTCACAAACACAATAAAAACATGTCCTATGAACACAAAAACAACTATAATTAAGCAGATTAAATACCTGTTTAATTCAGTCTCCTATCGTTTCAATTCCTAGAAGTCTGTTCCTGATGTACAGTATAAATACAGAACAAAATATTTAAGTTCTTAGATTTGTTTTAGTGAATTACCCAGTCCAAATTCAGGAAAGAACTTCTGGTATTCTGGTCAAAATATGTGGCCATTAATATAGTATTTTTGCATTGACTGGTTTTCTGGCTTTCTGACTTCTTTCAATATAAATTGGTTATAACAAAGAAAACAATTTTGCAAAAGATAAAACATAAACAAAAAAAAAAAAAAAGAAGAAAAAATCAATATTCTCTTCAAATTATGTCATGAAAATAAAGAAGCCAAATGCATATTTGTAATGTTCTTATTTCTTTATGATAGGAACAATTTATAAGGTCATTAGCTTAAACATTTCAAAATAAATGTCTTACTTCGTAGGCGTAGTCGAGCAAAGAAAGTTGATTTCTTAAGTAGCCAAGTTTGTATACTCCTAAGAAGACTGAGCAGCGGATGATTTCCAAAATTCCTGCTTTGGGTCTAGAAACAGGAAATAATGCAGATTAATGTTGTTGGTTTTCTTTCTTGTTAACTTCAATGAAAATCAGAATGTAGAAATAGTCTATGAATCCCACAGCTATATAAAATCCCCTTTTCTAAACTTAAATTTTTTTAAAAGATTACATTTCTATAGTATACAGTTTATATCTTAGAAGTTAGAATATCTTAGAGTACTGAATTTTCTGTGGGTGAGAACATGCATATGTAGAGAATATATGTGAACTCACACACATATAAACATATCTTTTAATCACAGAAATGATAACAGAAAAATTCTGAGAACTGCCATCTGAATAGCTCAGAATCTTTTCATTGGCACATTTCTGTAAATTCATATTAATTCTCCTTACCAAGTTTGTAAGTAATACTGATCTCTGATTTCTTGAAAAGCTTTTACCCACCCTGAAATACCCTATTCGGAACATATAAGCAAAATGTATTCTTTATTGAAAAAGACAATGATTAGTATGTGCAAAACACAAGTGGCACAACAATGAAGATTCTATTCCACATTTCTATGTTAGCAGGGCAAATACTCATAGTTTCCCTTTCAAGAAACTGTACTTGCTATTCAGATTCCTGTAGGTTTACAGCATTTGTATGGACTACTTCCAGAGCATACATCTCACAGAACTGGTATATTTCTCAAGATCCAATTTGATTTGAATCCATATTGACCAAATTAATCCAAAATCTTTGGTATCCTTCACATAAGTTTGAGTCTGCACTTTTTATGCTCTTCTCATACACTATCAGTCAATCTGACACCCATGAAATGCTACTACATAGGACTGAAACAACATGGCTAAGTTTGAGCAGCATTGGAACAGACTACAGGTCTGCCAGTATCACAAAACCAGGGAAGTTGATCCAACAAATACAAGCACATTTGACGACATGAGCAGTTGGTGCTTCAATATCACCACTAATTGCTGCTGGAACACTCTTTGTTTTAGTTACAGGTTGTGTTTTATCTTCTAGCCAACAGACAGAAACATACCTGTCAGAGTATATCTATAGTTCTTTATCAATATAATTTTGGGCACAGTTGAGATTTCCTTGTATTATTAATATTGTAGAATGAGAGAAGAAAAAAACCATGCTTTATGTCTTGCCTTTTCTCCATAAGAAATCCAAAAGAGGTCAGGGATAGAATGATAATGGCAATTCTCAGTAGAATATTTTCCTGTGATAATGTCTGTTTAAAAAAAGAAAAAAAAATCATTTAGGCTAATTTTCTGAAGAGAAACTGAGTTTATCAGAACTCAGAAGCTTCAACTTTATCTCAGTGATTTCACTGTCTGTTTCTGAAGTGATTCGCATTTTATTTTGCAAAAATTTGCAGTAATCACTTTTATAGTTGCCTCTATTTCCAATGTAATTATTAAGATACACCCTTCTGCACCACTTGCTTTCCTGAAGTTGCTTGATTTCCTCATGCCTTAGCCCACAAGGGCATAACATTTCTAAGTAAAAATTACCTTGGCCCTATTCTATTTTTTCATGTTATTTTACTTCATTTTTACAGTTGCCATGTATAAATCCCAATTAATACCAAAACAGACATTGGTAACAGTAAGAATTCAAACAACATGATATAGCTATATTTTAACAAGAAACAAAACTAATAATCTTTCCTCATAACACTTGGTTCCGAATTCAGGAAAACTCTTCAGCTCATATAATTGACTCCAATCAGACTGAAAACTTTTAAACGTTAACGTGTTTTATTATTTGGACACAAAGCAGCATAGAGATTTATGTCCTTGATATTTAAATCTGAATAATAGAAACAGCAATCAGAAAATAAAATTCTTTTCCATGATGAAGTCTGATTTTTTTTCTTTTACTTTATGAAATAATTTTATATTCTACATAACTGCCTTTGCAAATCAAATATTTAATCATTTTTCTTGTTCCCTCCCTTGCTTCCTCTCAAATATTAGCTTTGAAGAGCCTTTATTTTTTCTTAAAAAAAAATAAATAAAATTAAAAAAAGCAATATGAAAATAGCGCATCTTGCTGAGTTATAGAAATTCTTTCTGGTTTGAACAGCAATAAAGTTTATGAAGAGCATTTTGCACCTCAAGATCTCAGGCACTGAAAAATAAAAACCTGTGAATCCCTGCCTTGATTTCAATAAAGCCCACTTTGCAGCAAGCCCACTTTCCTTCAGTGGTGGCCCCTACCTCGCAAAGAGATCTAAGGTAAGTATCTGTGCGTGTTGGAGGCCACAGGAGAATAATCTCAAGTTTTATAGCTGTGCGAACTTACAGTGCCCATGTTTGCAAAACACATCAAACCACACACTCAGACTGGATAGGGTTCTGTTGTTACACTGAAGAATCACAAGCACCTACTTGGATATCCTTAACAAATGGCTACCAAACAAAGAAAACAGCATCCCAGCAATGCGTGAGCTAAACAGCAGCCCCAGTCATTTACAAGCCAGAACACACTTCTCACAAATGACACCTGTGAAGCCATTCCATTGCACAGATTTACACAAGGATAGATCAAATTCATTACTGGAATGCCACACATGCAGTCTGTCTCATTCTTCCTTACAGTAAATTTATGAAATCTCAAACCGATGATTACTATGAACATCTACCTAGAAGAAGACCTAAAGAAAGGATATCCTACACTATTCTTTTACTTAGAGCACCTGCTACTGGTCACCACAGGAGACAGGATATTGACCTGGACACTGAACCATGGAGGGACTCAGCATAGCAGTTATGCACAGAGACTCTTGCTTAAGACAAGAAGGTAAAAATGCTCTGATGGGGTTATCTTTGTATAAAGGTTTTTCTCAACTAGAGTACGTTGTAAAATTTTCAATGTAGGTTTTAAAATGTGTCAATAAAAGATTACATTGAAGGTATTTTTTATTTTTTTAACACTTCAGTTTCTAGAATCCAAAACTGTACAGCAGCTTTCCATTGTTGACAAGAATCAATTTGTTTTGAAGTGACAAAATTTTTTGGACAGAAATTTCTTCAATAAAAACATTCATAAAAATTCTTAAACTGTTCATCTACTCACAATAAATTCCCACTTAAACTTACTTAGAAGCCGGGTCATAAATAAATTCAATAATTAAAGCTAAGATAGCAAAGATGAATATGATTTGGTACAGCTATATGCTATATAGCTACAGCTATATGGCAATTCACAAACAAATTTCTTAGAAATGCTTTATTATGTTTTTCAATGATAGTTCCTTGTCAGGTAAAGCGTTTTATGGGGAACTGGGACCATAATTCAAAACTTTCCTATTTGAGTCTGTCCTTCCACTTAAATTGTAGTACAGCACCTTTTTAAACCCAGCCCTAGCCAGGTGGCTGGTTTTGTTTTGTGTTAGTAGTGCAATACAGTAGCTTCTATAGATTGCCTTAAAAAATGCCCTCACACTGGCAGGGCATTGGTCTGAGGAAAGGAACGTAAAGCTTTGATTCTCTGTCAGGTTACAAGAGAACTGAATATCAAGTATAAATTTTGAACAGTAGTTGCTACTTTACAATATATATCCAAAATCACAATTTATAGAAAAGGAATCTATCACAAACAACTTTGTTTCTTCGTTTGTGTTCCTAGTCAAGAGCTGCCTGGAAACTTCTGGTGAAATATATCTTGATGCCATTTGGAAGTAATAGATTTTAGAAAGCCAGAAAAACATAGCATAAATATTGACATATTAGTTTACTTTCCTAAATTTCTCCTGGCATAGTTAAATACTGCCTTGATTATTATTTACTTTCAAACTTGTATCACCTTGTGAAGTGGATGCTGACAGCTGGGCCATCCATTTTCTTGGTGTTACTCTACCACAATCAATGAAATAATCTGAGTTATATCACTAAACTAGCTATCACGTACTGAATCTATACACTGCAAGTTACAGTGTGAAAAGAATGTGCATTTTACACTTTTGTTAGTGCTAGCATCTTCATACCTCTTAAAATTACATGCATGGATATATATATAAAATAAATGAATATTTATGTACTGGATTACGTGCACAAACAGAGAAGCCTAAGGGACCACAGCAGGCTTCTTAGCTGTGAGTCAGTCACAACTTTGTAATGTGGTTATTGGCTGTAATTATACAGAAAAAAATATTTCTGTTGGATTTTAATTTCACTGAAAGATTAAAAAATATCTTGCAGACTTAAAAACAAAGGGGGGCTTATAGATTTTTGGGAAGAAGTTTACACTGCTTTGTAATCACAGGGTTTTTCTTTCAATTAGGTAAAAAAGAAATAACACATTTAAACAAAGGAAATATGCCCTATGTGTTTTACATGTAAATTGAAAGGTTCCAAATTCCAGGTCATTTTTCTTCCTTCTGAAGTATAACATAAATGCATTTTGTCATCTTACTGTCTTCAGTTTTTCAATAGAAATGCTAGGAAAGATGTCAGCATGTTGTAATTTGACAGATGCCCTGCTATCATATATGACCCATTTTTAACATTCAAATGAAGAAAGCTAATACAGTGCTATGGAATTTGTGTTGTTTGGTGTCTATGTATGAATTTTATTTTAACTGAGAATTCATGAAAATCTGTGATTACTTAGCAATATTCCGTATACTTTGTCTTCCATCTACTTTGTCTTGCCCTACTGAATGGATATATTACTTGTGCTCTCAACTTTCAAGAGACCTATCATATCACCGCATACTTTTTGTCTAATTAAAAGTGCTCACATATTCATGGCATTATAATCACAGTAAAAGTTACAGTATCTATCAACAACAAAAAGACATTACAAAATGTGTTTAAGGTAGATTTCATTTTGATTTATGAGATACAAGCAGTTCTGGAGCTATGAGACTTTTGCTTTGAATGTACTGCAGTTTTACACTCCTAGCACTCTCTCTGGGACTGATCCAAATCCCATTACATCAATGATCAAGATGTGCGCAGCTCAGAAATATTTTTATTCTCTGGATATAGTACAGATTGCTATATAGAAAATAAACACTGTATGCTCTCTCTTGTGGAAAATATATATTTGTTCTTTCTTGTTTTGCTCTTTTCATAAGTTAAATGTAGGTCATTCATACCAAAGGTATATGGTTGCTCTTTGCACATAAGAGAAACTTAACACTTCTACAGGGCGTGAGACCAAACACTGAGCAACTGTAATCACTTGAGAAATGTAATAGCTGTATGCTGTGTCTTATGGCCATTATGAAATGGAACTTACACCTAAAAATGAGGAAAACAGTTAGCTTTCTCCATTTATGGAGCTATGCCACAGTTATGACATAATTCATAGCCAGACAGAAAGTTCCAGTTGTATCCATAGACATTTTATAATTCAGTGTAGTGGAAAACTGATATTGAAGAGAGATTTTTGCCAAGTAAAGTTATTCATACACAAGCTTCCTTCTCATGACAGCTTTCCCACTGTACTGCAGAGTGATGCTGGAACTCTGCCTTGGGACAAGAACTTTCTACACCAACACTGACGGTTTATGTACTGAGATGAAGTGCTTCTAGTTCCCTGTGTTCTCATTCTTATTCTTACTACCTCATTACCCCACAGTTTTGTGTAGAGAACTTTCTGGGTTTTTTTTGTTGCAATAAACTCATACATAGTAGATGTTCAAGATATTTCCTCTCTGTGATTGCAAAAACTTAATTATCATATGGGGTTTGGGTGTTAAACTTGTTACTAATTCTTAAACAGCTGCAGTTATCAACAGAGAAAAAAATTTGGACCGTTCATTTTTCCTTCAAGGTCCAGAGAAATACAAAAAGAGAAAATAAAAAATATGAAAAAATTCATTAATGAACTCCTTAGTTCTTGCTGTAAGCAATATTAACAAAGAAAATAAACAAATACCTTATTTGATCCCTAGGGAAACATGACTTTTTGCATGTATGCAGGAATTTAGAAGCATATCCTGAATATTTTGCAGAGGTTTTCTCAGTATATGAGCATAGCAATTGTGGCATTGTATATCTTGCACATATGATAGGTATTTATGCTTTAGTTTCCTTCAGAAATTTCTCAGGATAGACAAAACCTTATATGGTTTTGTAATCTCTAAACTCTCTGCAGTGTGACCTTCATAGTAGTGATGGTGATGTGTATTGTAACTTGTATTAATCAGAAGAGTAGGCCTAAACAGCATCAAGCAGTGGGCCCAGGTGAACCTCGAGAGGTTCCAAGTGCAAAGTCTTGCATCTGGGTCATGGCAACCTCCACTATCAGTACAAGCTGGAGGATGTAAGGATAGAGCACAGCTGTGCCAAAAAGGACTAGAGGGCACTGGTGGATGGCAAGACAGGCATGAATCAGCAATGTACCCTGGCAGACCAGAAAGACAACAGTATACTGGGCTGTATCCAAAGAATTGTAGTCAGCAGAGCAAGGGAGGTGATCCTGTCCCTCTGCTCCGTGCTGCAAGACCTCACCCTGGAGTACTGTCCTCACTGCAGGAGAGATGTGAATTTCTTGAAGCACACCGGGAAGGCCACAGAAATGGCCCAAGTGATGGAACACCTCCCCTATGAGGACAGAGTGAGAGAGCTGGGGCTATTCAGCCTGGAGAGCACTCCAGATCTGACAGTGGCCTTACAGTATCTAAAGGAGAGCTATAAGAAAGATGGGGACAGACTCTTTTGCAGGGTCTGCTGTGGTAGGTGTCATGGTTGACAGTAGGACAAAGGGAAATGGTTTCAAACTAAAAGAGGGGAGATTTAAATAGGATATAAGGAAAGAGTTTTTTATGATAAGGATAGTGAAGCACTGGAACATGTAGTCCAGAGAGGTGGTAGATATTCCCATCCTTGGAGACATTCAAAGTCAGGCTGGACAGGACTCTGAGAAATCCGATCTAGCTGTGGATGCCCTTGCTCACTACAGGAAAGCTGGACTAGATGGTCTTTTATGGTCCCTTCCAACTGAAAAGATTCTATGGTTCTATGATTCCTGTTACCTTTCCATTGAAGTGCAAAACAAAATACTTTTAAAATGTTTCTCAAAAACTGTTTTCTTCTATTTGTCTGATGTGTTATTCAGAACACATCTAAGAAACAAATAAGTAAACAAAAAAAGAGCTGCTATAAGCCTGATGCTTTTTCTCTCAAGAAACTATTTCACTCAGTCTCTTCTTGCAACTGAATGCAAGAATTTCTGTCAGAAAAAAAAAAACAAAAAACAACAACTTCAACAACTGGACAAGATTTCAGAAAACTTTGAATTATTTTTTCAAGTCTTTAGCATCTTTCAAAATTGGCCTCTTAAAATCTGACCAATCTTGACATTTTAAATCCTACACAAACTCAGATCTGAGATACATTCTTCCTTTAACAAGATCCTAAAGCCTGATGCAGATACTTACATATTCTACAAAACATTCATTATTTTTAATTTAATTGCACAAATAATTAATATAGTTACTAAAACTTTTAGTAAATATGTTAATATATATTTAATACTGTATAATTACACATTTACACATTTATTATTACACCACTACAGAATCTAGTTATGATTTTTTATATATATTATATAGATATGATTATTTACATAGCATAAGAGTCAGGCCCTATAGTTTCTACTCTGTGCTTTATTATGTAAGTATATTGTGTGTCATATTACTGTCATCATGAAATGCTATTACCTAAAGACATGAATTACTCACAGTCACAGTAGCAAGAAGATCAATATACAACTCCATTATTACAGCAAAATGTACCACTGCGTAGCAGTTAAGATAAGCTGGTACACTTGGATTGAAGGGAACTTCATTTCCAGTGACCTATATGAAGCAATACAGATACCAGTGATCCACTGCAACCTCTTATTCCTTAGTATTCCTTAAAATTACAAACACAAAAAGATTAAGGAGCACAGATAATTACACAAAGATAATCTACAATCTTACATACATACTGTCTAGTGTTTCACTGTTTATGTGTGTGCGCGTGTGCATATTCACAACTGAAAGAAAAAGAGAAATTAACTTACTCTATAGAACTATTTTGAAAATCTCTTTAGGAAATGAATAATGAAAAAATAAACAAAATGATATATTTTTCCTTCAAATAAAAAGAAAAACACAAGTAAAACATTCATTTCCTTCAGTCTTTTCCTTTTATGACTGCTAATTTGCTAATTTAAAATAGCATGTGTAGAGTTCTTAACGTTGATCCAGTAGCATTAAGAGGTCCAAGTAAATTACACAAAACTGAAAGCCTCTATATGTTATATTTACCGCTGGGATTTCCTCAGGAAGGCCAAGTCTAGGTTTGCCTGGTCCCCAGCCTGGCCCTTTGAATATGACAGAAAGCTTATTCCAGAATCCAGGTGTGGCCCAAAATGTATTCCAAATACGAGCCAAGGGACGTAACTTAAAAAAGAGCAAGTGATTTTTCATTGTTAGTAAAATAAAATTTATTAAAACATTACATTTCCCTCATCCTTAGCTTTCAAATAAATGACTTTTTGCAAGTCTGTAAAGAGAGTACATTAAAAAGAGATGAAGACAGAGGTTCTGAAAACATGACTGAAATAGGCAGGAGCCATATCAGGTCCTTGGTTTATTGTAAGGATTATAAAGACTTCTACTCAGAGGAAAATCTCTCTTTCCTATAGGCAATCCAGAACATTAACAGTATTTTGTATAACTGTATTTATGATGGCTTTAAAGTAGAATTTTGTTATTGGGACTTTTACATGACATACTCTCAATTCCTAAATTACTCAGTGCTGTCTGTAATGTATATAACAGTACGGACTGTGGCCATCCTTCTAGCTTCCAGCCCAGGTACTCCTTCAGGCAGAATTTCTAAGTCTTTGAGATGCCTTGTGGAGTGAACAGCCATAAAAAGTCCCCATGAAATAAAGGGAGACGTCTATACTCCTCAGTTCTTCTACAGTTTTATGGAGAACTTTTTATGTTGTGATGAAGAGAAGCTTGGACCAAGAAATCCACCAAGAACCACATTAAGTACTTTTTCTTCTTTTTCCTTTCTGTTCCAAACAGCTTCTGTTGAAAATATGATGGCTGCTATGTAACACTGTCAATGCAAATCATTATGAAGCATCATTAAGATCAAATACGCAAAACAGATAAAGAAATAAAGATATCACACCATGGGATTACTTATGAAATAGCAAATTTAGGGAATACATAAACAACAGATTTTGTTTTCTGTCTGTGCCTCTCTACATATTGCTCTGTGTGTGTCAAAATAGACAGCATTCACTGGGTAAGTCATAGGCCTGTTATATTCCCACTGTAATTAATTAATTAATAATTTTACTGTATTGTGTTTTCATAATGGCTCTACATGCCCTGTATATTTTCAGTGCAGCAAGTTGTAATGAAATACTGAAGACACTGTGGATAGTGAATTAACTATGTAGCAGAGTTAATCTCAGTTATGCCTAAAAGGGGTTTCTTTTGAACAACCAGCACTCTTTTTGAATGATTGTTATAGATAACAGAATCAGTTATACAAAGGATAGCACCTGGAGCAGGATGGGGTCAAATGAATTTACTGGATGTGTTAAGCCATATACAACTTTAGCATCTTCTGCCTCAAATGTTCCTGAAGGAAAATGTCAAAAAAAAAAAAAAAAAAAAAAGAATCAACATTTAAATATACACATTTTGTTTGATGCACTAACTAAACATGAGGGAGAGAGCAGCTTGCTTTGGTTTGGTTTTACTTACCAAATATCCTGTCCCAGATAATGAGTGTGCCGCCATAATTTTTGTCAATGCAGTAAGGATTTCTACCTATAATAAAAATGATTGATAAGTCATTGCATATATAAGAATACATGCAAGTGGGTTACAAAAGGAAATCTTAGCATCAATTTCTAATCTAAAAATATTTTTTAAGGAGTGAATTAGCAAGTTTGCTGATGGTGAAAACCTGGGAGGAGTGGTGGACATACCAGAAGGTTGTGCTGCCATTCAGTGAGACCTGAGCAGGCAGAGAGTTGGTCCTGGAAGAGGAACCTTATAAGTTTTAATAATAAAGAGTGCATAGTCCTGAATCTGGGGAGGAATAACCACATGCATCAGTATAGATTAGGGTCTGAACTGCTGGAAAGAAGCTCTGCAGAGAAGTGTGTCTTGGTGAACAACAGGTTGGCCATAAGCCAGCAGTGTGCCCCTGTGGCCAAGAAGGCCCACAGTATCCTGGAATACATTAAGAAGATTCTGGCCAGCAGGTCAAGGGAGGTGATTCTCCCCCTCTACTCTGCCCTGGTGAGGCCACACCCAGAGTACTGTGTCCAGTTCTGGGCTCTTCAGTTCAAGAGAGACAGGGAAGGGATACAAAGATGATGAGAGATCTGGAGCATCTCCCTTATAAGGAAAAGCTGAGAGGCCTTGAACTGTTCAGCCTGGAGAAGAATGAGAGGGGATCCTATCAATGCTTACCAACGAAAAGGCAGGTGTCAAGAGGAAGGGATCAGATTTTTTTCAGTAGTATCCAGTGATGGGACAGGGGGCAAACAGGCACAACACAGATTATAGGAATTTCCATATGAACATAAGAAAGAACTTCTTTACTTTGAGGGTGACAGAGCTGGAACAAGATGCCCAGAGACGCAGTGGAGTCTCCTTTTCTGGAGATATTCAACACCTGTCTCAATGTTTTCCTGTGCGACCTATTTAAGTGAACCCGCTTTAATAGGCGGTTGGACTAGATGATCTGTAGAGATGATCTAGAGTTCCTCCAATCTTTCAGCTCCCACAATTCTGTAACTCTGAATAGTAAGTTAGCTGCCCTTTATGTATTTACAACATTTCTTTTTTCTGAAAAAGCATCTAAGTCTCCTTCTATTCAGAATCAAATATACAAATGTAGCATGTCGTACTCAAAATTTCTGTGAAATAAAGAATTCAACTGGAGAGTAAATTCACCTAAAATATATTTATGAAGAAAAATTAAAGAAGTAAAAAAAAATCACCTCATTAATTTATACCCAAGAAAATACATGTCGAATACATTTATGCATAATCATCTCTTTACTGTCTTTCAGCTGTTTCTATGTTTTATTGCCATACATCTGATCCTGCCTATACCACTGAATTCAGGGTGACCCTTCAATCTATTACCTAGGGAATGTACTTGTATGTGAAATATCTTTCAAATGTTTGAACAAAATCAATGGAGTTTGTTTGGTACAACTGTACAATACTCGATTCTGCTCAACTCTGATCAGGATCAGGTTCAGAGGATTAGTCTGGATTTACAGCAGAGCAAATAAGAGCAGACTGGTTCCCTCCAGGATTACCAGTACTTGTGCAAATTTTAAGGATTAGATAGTTACAGCACCACAGCCTTTTAAAAAAGTCTACACAGTGCTATAAACACTCTACACGTGGAGGATATAATAAATATTAATAACATCCTCTGTACATACAACTCCATTTTAGTCTGTTTCAAATTATTTTGCTTTTCCATTCCCATTGCTTTTCTCCTTGTTATCTCTGCACTCTGAATGAGCCAGTGACATCTATAAAACCCACTTTTATTCCACAGGTATATTCGCGGCATTTCTCATGATTCAGAGGAGTTATGAATCAAATTTAGATATGCAGTACCATCTTTAATTCTTCTGGATATTGATGGAAATTCCTATCAACTGACAAGTATGTGTGTGAAGTGATATTTTTCAACAATTCAGACATTTGAAACTAAATTCCACCAAAACGTTTAACAGCTCTACTTCACAAAGAAAAACGTGTCTTACTGCATGAATTTGAATGCAAGAGCATCTGTTACTGACTGGTACGATGACTGTGTTTTAGCAGTCAGGGAAAGTGAGATTTTTATTATCATTCTTTATATTTACAAAACTATTTTGCTCAAAATCTTCAAGTTATCTCACGTTATCAAGGTTTCGTTTTTGCTCAATAATTAATCTCAAAGGTAAAGATTTAAAAATTAAATATAAGTTCTAATTTTTTTAAAAAATTACTGTTTAATACTATGTAACTTCTCACATAACAAGGACTATTTTTTGAAGCAGTTATCAAAATTAAAATTGTTGTATAATACTAAAGTATAATTTTTATTCTTTCTTATTACAGTCCAAGTACTGAATACTAGCAAAAGCCTATTGAGGAATTAGAGGTTATGCTTTTAACTTACCATGATGAACTCTGTGATGACTAGGAGTATTAAGAATCCACTCCAATGGACCAATGTTAGTGACAACCTTGAAAAGAAACAATGTTTATCTAAATTTGAAAACACTGTATGAATTCAATAAAAAGGAGGGAAAAGAAGGACACAAAACGCATAAAGATTTTTATCTCCAGGAGACTTGTCTAAAAAGATGAGAACTTTTTTGTTTTAACTTGTGTTCATTACAAGATTTTTCAAGAAAGAATAAGTGAAATCTAGTAAAATGCAAGTTAAAAAGCAAATTTCTTTTTGATCAATCAGCACACTTTCTTCTTTTATTACTAGTTCATGATTCTATACAGATTGCTCAATTTTTCATCTGTATCTATTGACACTTCTTGGTAAGCAGTGTAACTCTAAGATCCCAGTAAATTGAATATTCATTCTAAGCAAATGGTTGGCACAGTTCCAGAAACAATCTCCTTTAGTATCTTTGACTGTTTTCTCCTTCTACCAACACCCTTCTTTTACTCCAGCAGAAATGAAATAACACAACAAACTGAGAACCAATGCAAGTGGAAACTATACTTGTTTCATTTTGCCATAAACTTACTCTAATGATTCAAGCTTTGTCATAAAATGCTTATGAATTAAGTTTATGAATAAAGTAAATATAAAAATAAAATTAATATTTTTATTAATATTCATCTTTATTAACATGAAAAGAACTTCTGATTATTAGGTTAAGCAGAGCATTTCTGTAAAGGAAGGAGTATAGAAATGATCCAGTTCTTCATATAGAGAGAACTGCAACATCTGGAGTATCTTGCTCAAAATAATGTGCACACTGGCTGGAAAAGCAGAACACTGGGACAAATTTCTTTTGTTTTGTTTAATTCAGAAGCCAAGGACAACATAAGTAGGGCCATTTGTATTTCTTAGAACTCACTCAAACTAAGTTCAAGCCTGAAAAGAACACCAAAAGGTGAGAAACAATTCATCATTCAGTCTAGCTTGATTTCCCTCATCTTTCAAGCAGAAAATCCCACTGTATTAAGCTATGTGAGATGTAACCACCTAATTGAACTAATGAATTAAATGTCTTGGATTGAATTGTAGCCCAGAACCTGAGAGAACAGTGATCTATATATTAGACCACATCTAAATTTGATAGAAATGGTGAAGTACACTATTTCTAGAAATTTCCATTGCTATCAGTAAGCTTATACCTAAAAACTGCTATCATTGGAAAATTTTTTGCATTCTCTATATATTTTATAAATATATATATATTTTAAACACATATTTTATATTTTGTAAATATAGACTTATATGATATCAACAAGAGGAAATACATAATCTCTGTAACAGTGGATTTTGAAGCCTCCTGCAGTAGCACAACACGAAGAATAATTCAATTTTCTTGATATTTTCTACCTTCTGCCATCTTACCACAGGAGGAAAACACCCCCTGAGCAGATCCTTCATCAGAGTAAATTGCAAAGTCTAGGATAGTAAAATAATTGTTGCCAGGCAAAATTTTATACTCTGACGCTGTCATTTGAGGCTCACAGGACCCTACTGAAATTCAGAGAAAAAAAAAAAAAAAAAAAAAAAAAGAACTTTGCAGGACTTGGCATGTAACAAAATTTAATGTGGTGGAACAACAGTCAATGCTCAAAAGAATGTCTAGAAAGTTACATAGAGGAAAAAAGCAGTGGTGGATGTTCCAGCTACCAATCAGCCTTTCAGATTTCAATCTTCCCTCATTGCTGTGGGGCAGATGTCTGTGTCATTGTGTCCAGACATCTTCCTTGAAAAACATCAATCACAACGTAGTAGGTAAATATTTATAGTAGCAGTAACCAGGCATACTTCGCAGTTGCAACCAGTCACCAAGATATATACACTGCCAGATCTCAGTCATTCAAGACACCAGAACATTTTTATCTTAAAATAGGTTTCCATTCAAAATGGCTTTTTAGAATAAACATTTTCACATTTCTGGAAAAACACTTTTCAATTTAATATTGAAATATATATAAAATAAATATATAAAAATATATTTTATAATATAAAATATCAAATAAATAAACATAAAATAATATAAATATATAATATATATGAAATAGATAAAATGTCAAATAAATTCAATATTATATCAGAACAAATCACATATTTTGTGGCTTACAATTGAGATTTTCATTAGAAAAATAATATACTTTTTACAGTTATGGCTTTTTTATGTACTAAATGCTTTGTTTCAGCCCTTTTTTTCTACTGGAAGTTAGTCTAAAAAATTTAAAAATATATGGTGGAAATGTCATGGTCCAATATTTCTATCACCTTTATTGTATATTTCATTTTATTAAAAGGAAAAAATCCTGTGAGTATAAATAATTCTATAATAATTTATATCATCATCTTGCAGTTATCCTGGAAGGCTGAAAAATTACTCCAATTAGCCTTAAAAAATGATATATACCAACTCTTTTCCTAGAATGATCTTATAATTATATGAGAATGTTGACCAACATGGCTGGCAGAGGGGACATTCTTGTGTTAGTTTCTTAGATACAGACAACTATTGTACTAAATCAAATCCTGTCTCCTATTTTTCCTCTCTCAGTTAACACATCATGTCCACCTACCACATCACTGAGCCTCAATGAACTGCTGCATTCCAGAAAACTTTTTTCCTGCTTGCTTTGTTTATAGCTTAACATCACATGTCCACAAAACAATTTTCACCTGAAAAACCTTACAAATAGATTAGATAAACTACATGTGAATCTGATATATAGGTATTTATGTACATCATTCAGACTTGTAAGATCTCTTCTCAAAACAGGTATTTTTTCTTTTTTTTTAAAGCAACATATTCCTAAGTTATTGCATCAAGAAGTTGCTAAACAATAATGCAGAATTACTATGAGAACAATTGAAGCAGCTTCAAGAGCAGTTTAAAAAACAAGGCAACTAAAAGCTATGTGCTTACAAACTTTCCACAATTTGCTGAACAAAAAAATTCCAGAAGTCAAACCTTCATATAAAACGAGATTATTTTTTTTTTTTCAATAATAACAGTTCTTACATAAAGATGTTTCCTTTATGACAGCAATCCCTTGCCTAAAGGAAAAGAACATCATGCAACCTCTTGTGGCATGTAAGCACGTCCGTTTGCGGTCTCAGAGTTTGTCAGCACCAAGGGAAATCTTTATTGCCTGGTACCTGCACCACTTCAATGTAGTTCTTGTTTAAATAATGAGAAAAAATCGTGACTTGAAATCCGAAGGAAACTTTACATCTTGTGTAACAACTCCTCCTGTCACCACTACAACATGAATCTTTGCTTAACTCTGTTTCAACATGAATGTTAGGAAGAAATGTCGACAGAGCAGAGGAGGCAATGTTACAGTAAAAGCACGGCTAAATAAAAAAAATAACTTTTTTTCTTTAAGAAAAGCTGTTTGTAGCAGAGTATGACTTTCCATATCATAGTGCTACTGATCTGCAGGACAGACGGTAAATTCGTCCCTGGAGCATGACTAAAGAGCACTCTGAACTTAACTCTGGGGTTTCAGCTAGATTAGTTGTGGTAGAACAGGTATTTCAACTGATTTCTTCATCAAAAGTAAGACAAGATTTTTCTTCCCAGTATATAAATCTGTATTTCAGATAGTTTGGTGGGGAAATTTGAATATAAAACTTTAATTACATTCTCCATAGAGCTGCTGTGTTAATTCAGGACAACACACCCATGTATTTATACAGATGGCCCTGGTGATCATATTTGCCATGTGAATTCTCTACAGGGAGGCTAGGGAAAGGCAGAACTCCTAGGATACATGCTTGTCTGCCCAGTTTCACACTTTGAAATCCTCAGCAAACCCTGATTTATATACTGCCAACTGTTTTCCTATCTGATTAGGCAGTTTTCTATTCCAGTAAGCATGTAAAATGGATGTAGCCAAATTTCCACAGTGAGGAACGAAAAAACAATATTTATAGTTTAGAAATAAAATAAGCCAAAGGAATCAGGTCTGTTGGGATCATAAAGAGTTTAATAGGGTGGTGAATTTCTGACAAATCTAGATTGTAGGAATGGGAGGTGAAAGCCTAGTTTTAATGGATAGTCAAGTTTAGGGTATGTTTATATAATAAACACACAGACTTAAGAAACGTGTTTAGAATAAATTATCTTGAAGGCAGACAGTTGTCACTTTTTGTTGGTTTATGCTTTAGCCAGAAGGTAAGGTTTAAATCAAGTAGACATCTGACATGAATATTTCAGCTACCACTTTCAATAAGTGAATGCAACATTTTATATATATATATATATATATATATATATATATATATATTTTTTTTTTTTTTGCAAGGTCTAATTAAGCCTTCTTGTAGAAAGATAAGCACATGTTGCTTATGTCAATCAAGTTGTCCACTACAATGCAAGAAAACAATCACTAACTTACTGTTTTGATTGTAATATTACAAATAGCAGAGCACAATGGGAGTCACTCTTCCGGTTGTATATCAAGTTAAACATTTTAAACAAACTCCAGGAGAAAAACTGCTATACAATTTCAGTATTTCTTTAATCAACTTGACAAATACATGCTGGTGACTGTGGAGAAAAAAAACAGAGCAATAAATCATATGCCAGCCCTGAAACAAACCAAATATATTAAACTGTAGCTCTTCACTGTACCTCTTTAAAAAGACAAAAATACAGTCATCATCTTGCACTTTGTTGTTTTTCTTTTAATAAATAAATGATTTCCAAATATTATTTTGCTTTTAAAGCCACAATCAATTAAAATAGATTCTCATTGAGTACAACTACGTGTAAAACCCAAGATTACTAAACATAACTTTGTTAAAACGTGGAAAAATATGATTTTTTTTAATGTCATTTGGTCTCTCTAATTTATCTCCACATTAATTTAGTATCCTTTCATTATTTTATTAACTTTAATTGGTAAATAGGTTGCTTATGTTGCTCTGCATTCTGCAGAAATGTATTGTCTCTAAGTATCTCATTTCACACTCACTTTGGTAATTCTCCTCAGACAAAATAGACTGAGTGAT